ATCTTTATTTATGGAGTAAAACTATCAGAAAATAAAAATAGCTTATATCTTTTTTTTAAAAATAAAGAAACCTTTAATTTCGGACATACTCCCTTTTATATAACTTGTTTGTTGATGTGGAGATGGTGAAGGAGTAGAAGTTAGTTGTTGATAAGAGGATGAAGGCACGTAAGAGATCGAAGTGTGGTCTTGTGGAGTTGTAAGAGATATGAGTGCGGTCTTGTGTTGATAGCGTTGGAATAGGAGTTAGTTGTTGAGGAGAGGCCTTATCTTCTCCTTACTAACATCATACACTCTACTTTACGAACGGCAATAAAAAAATTAGTTTAGTAGGCATTTGACCATGTCACTTCGCAGGGTCACAGGCTAGGGTGGATATGATTTGAATTTCGATAAAATTTCAATTAATTTATTTATTTTATTCACTTTTTTTTTGGTTTTTTGTAAAATATCAGTGCCATAGGCTTCTACTCCGTTTATATGATTAAAATGTAAAAATTTTGTTATATAAAAAAGGTCATTCAGTATCACTGTTTTGTTAACTTCCTTCCGCGAGGGTTGCCGGCAGCGACTGCCAAAAGAAATCGGGCCGATGCGCCTACACACACGCAGTAAGGAGGGGGCGGTGCCCCGATCTAGGAAGCATCGGCTGATCTAGGAAGCATTTTTGCTCCTGCCAGTCAATTAAGGAGGCGATATCGGCCACGACTTACGATGGCCCTACATACGACACGATTTAAGCGGGCTACATACGAGACGATATCGGTGGCGATCTAGGGTGGAAAAAAATCGGGGCTTTTATCGGGGCAGACCCTACACACGGGCCTGCCTAGCAGTACGCGTTCGGACTTGGAGCGGAACACATATGCGGTAGAGTTCTTCAAAATTTCTTTTTTTTTTTTTTTATAGGATAGGGTGACAAACGAGCACACAGTCCACCTGATGGTAAGTGGTTGCTGTGGCCCACAGACATCTACATCTATCCTCGATTACGAATCAAAATGCAGATGCGTTGTCACCCGTGAGGACTAAGATGGAATGCCTCGTTTCCAGTATAAAGGGTCTCCGATTCTCTACACTCACCATACGAAATACAGCAGCATTAAGCTACTATTTCACGCTGGTATTCTGTGAGAGCGTGGTCCTTCCCCGGTCGAGCCGACCCATTCGTGCTACAACTATACTACTAATATAACTGCAGCATGGCTCTACCACGTATAACTTATATAAATAGCTTCAACTCTCTTAAAACACCAATGTATTGGTTTGGCATTAGCCCTCTCGGTAAATTTATTCGAAAATAGAAAAAGAGGAGTTGCTGGGTGAAAAAATGGCTCCAAAAGAGACAAAAATTAAGCCACATAAACGTACTAAATGATCTGTATTCCAAAGACATGATTAATTTTCTCCGGATGGATGAAGATAGTTTTTATAACCTTCTAGAAATGATTTCGCCACTTATATAAAAACATCAATTTCTCCTATGTACCTATGCTATTTAGTTATTTCTTCTCTTTGTTCATTTCTGCTTTGGTCAAAATCTAATTATGTATTACACACAACAAACAAGGAAATAAAATACTTTTGTATAATAATATGTGCATACTTTTTTTAATGTAATCTTTATTTATGGAGTAAAACTATCAGAAAATAAAATAGCTTATATCTTTTTTTAAACATAAAGAAACCTTTAATTTCGGACATACTCCCTTTTATATAACTTGTTTGTTGATGTGGAGATGGTGAAGGAGTAGAAGTTAGTTGTTTATAAGAGGATGAAGGCACGTAAGAGATCGAATTGTGGTCTTGTGGAGTTGTAAGAGATATGAGTGCGGTCTTGTGTTGATAGTGTTGGAATAGGAGTTAGTTGTTGAGGAGAGGCTTTATCTTCTCCTTACTTACATCATACACTCTACTTTACGAACGGCAATAAAAAATTAGTTTAGTAGGCATTTGACCATGTCACTTCGCAGGGTCACAGGCTAGGGTGGATATGATTTGAATTTCGATAAAATTTCATTTAATTTATTTATTTTATTCACTTTTTTTTGGTTTTTTGTAAAATATAAGTGCCATAGGCCTCTGCTCTGTTTATATGATTAAAATGTAAAAATTTTGTTACATAAAAAAGGTCATTCAGTATCACTGTTTTGTTAACTTCCTTCCGCGAGGGTTGCCGGCAGCGACTGCTAAAAGAAATCGGGCCGATGCGCCTACACACACGCAGTAAGGAGGGGGCGGTGCCCCGATCTAGGAAGCATCGGCTGATCTAGGAAGCATTTTTGCTCCTGCCAGCCGATTAAGGAGGCGATATCGGCTACGACTTAGGATGGCTCTACATACGACACGATTTAGAGGCAATCTAGGAGGCATCCCCACTACTCCACCCTAGATCGCCACCGATATCGTGTCGTATATCTAGTAGCGCGGTTGAATCGACGTCCTACGAAAATGCCGAATTTGTTGGTTTTTTGCTGCAGAAAGAGATCTACCATGTCTAATTTACATATAATTGCGATTTACTTCTTTAAAAACTTAAACATTACAATAATAACGGTCGTGTTATTTCGAATTTGCTTACTGACATAAGCCGCTGGCTCTCATACAATATACCATGGAATACATATAAATAGTTTCGACTTATTGGTTGTAGGATACTGCTTTATTTAAATTCCATTTCCCGCTTTGAAATAATACTAGTTTTTACGGAATTTACCCGACGTTTCGAACGCTTTACAGCACTCATGGTCACGGGCAGGAAAAGTTAAATATACGCGATAAATTCCGTAAAAACTAGTATTATTTCAATGTGTAGTGTTCGCGTAATGACGAGAGTGATAGAAGACGAAGAAGATAGAATATATATATACACATACAACACGTAACATAATTAACGCACTTTGAGAAAGTAGTTTGTTCAGAATCGTTTACTGAATCGATTCCTATCATTTTTAAAATATAGGTAATTTTTTATCCCAAAAATAATTAAAACTACATAAATTACAGTCACAATAAATCTGTACAATCAAAATAAACTGAAATGGACCGTAACTTAAGACAATAAGACTTTTAAGAGTGTAGTTTTATTTGTATTATTATTAATTCTGTCATTCAATAAAAATAAAGAAAAATTAACTTTATTTTAAGCACGTTAAAGTCTTTGAGTTCGTGGATTTGTACTGTGACCACAACATTCTTCCGGAATTAATATAACTAATTTGATAAATAATCAGTGCATAAAAATGTTTAAATAAAAATTCAGTGTATGTATTATGATTATAACATAATATACTAATTGGGGTGTCTGTGGTGTGCGTTAATTACGTTACATATTATATATATATATATATATATATATATATATACATATACATATATATATATATATATATATATATATATATATATATATATATATATATATATATATATATATATATATATATAAGAATAAGTCGTTTTAAGGGATAGGATTAGAGCCTACAAACCAGTGAATTAAAATCTTATAAAACATTTTAATTTTACGTATCTCCCATACACGTACCTAAATGGAGTACGATTTTTTCTCGTCTATTCTTCTATTCTTAAAACTAAGTGTATTATAAACTATAAAAAATACACATATTGTGAAGAAAATGACTTATATGCATTACCACTATAGGTTTTCTTTTTCATTAGCGGGATAGGCAGATGAGATCTTCTTTGCTTTCTCTTTTATTATTACTTTTTACTTTCGCTTATTTTTTTTATTTTAGGCCTCATTCAAAGTATTCATACAATCATATAGCCTCATATAATTTCATTTGTCATACTCTTCGTTTACGTGGGTGACCTTCAAGATAATTTAGGGCAGTGGCGGTTTATGCAAAGGTTCGTTACGATCATATATATTGTGACGGGCAACGCACGTGGTCAGGTTTTTAATCTCTCAAAATGCAGGTTTCCTCATGATTTTTTTTATTTACCACCGAGCACGTGGTAAATCAGATATCCCTCCCAGGAATCTGGTTTATAGGCTGTATCGTCAGTTTATTTTACTTTTTACCAGTTTTTATTCGCCTTTTTCGCACATACATATCTATGGTAGTTCTCGCCGGAATTTCATAGTGATATAAAAGTATCCTAGGTAGTATACCACGACCTAATCGCGTTTTATGCCAAGTTTCCTTTTAATTTGTCCAGCCGATCCAGCGTGATTTGTACAATAAACATATACGTCACGCCTGTAATCTCCGAGGAGGTCGGTAGAGTCCAAATAGCAGCAAAACACTCGGATCATATAGCCAAAAAAAATGAGTAGAGATGAAAATAGTGAAAGAAGTGATAGGTGGTTAGGCCACCGCCTTTACAATTACAAACCAAATATCGAAATAGTAGTTTTTTACGAATATCTACGCAAGTAACACTTATCACATTCTTTTTTGTTGTAAGTCCTACGTATACATTACAGTCCTACTTGGCAAAGATAAACGCAAAAACAAATTTTTTATTTTGTTATTTAACTTTTTAGCTTAAATCTACTATTAGTTTCAATTTATTAGTAGTACTAATAACTTTCTCTCTTTAAGGTAAATTTAATGTCACAAGTAACGCCATCTATATTCGACCGGATGTAACTAATTAACGCTCAGATAAGAACCACTTGATATACATGCACTACGTATCAACCAATGACCTAGTTACCTCGACCAGTAAAAATAGCGTGCGACAATAGCTCAAACACTATTTTTAGTACGTATCTCTCAAATCTCAATCTACACAATCCTTATCTATCACATTGTTTTCTTAACATCGAGTTTGGAATCTGTCAGATCCCGTACACGGCTTACGGCGCAACGCACGTTAACATATCTATGTAAGCATAGTACAGTCAAAATCGATACAACGTCGCGTAAAGCCAGTTCGGGTTGTTTTTTCCTCGAACATTAGTGTCCGCTTAGTTGTCGCTAGCATTTTTAGTTTAGTAAACAAGGGAACATGTTTTAAGGGAAGACTGTAGAATGGAAGGCAGCGTGAAAAGGTATATACGTAGCGAATCAGCCAGTTGTGCTCACATGGTTGAAGAAAGCACGGCGAACAATAGAAAGAGTACGGATCCTCATGAAAAGTTGAAGGCTTTACTGAACTCGCCCGAAGAGGATGCCGACGACACGCTTCCACCTTCGGACGCTCCAAAATTTGGGACGGTTATTCACAATAGAATTTTCGTCGGCGGTTTCTCATTGACTACAACTGACGAGGACCTTTGGAAGTTTTTCTCCGGTTTCGCGACTGTAACCGCGGCGAGGGTGATTTATGACAGAGCTGGTGTTTCCAAATGCTATGGGTTCGTGACATTCGCAAGTCCGAGGGTGGCGAGATTAATTGTTAAGCAGGTTAGTTCGATTTCATTTTTTTTATGTAAAATTATTTAGGATTTAAACGATAGATGCCTTTCCCTAAAATTTACAAAAAGTACAAAGAAGAACTTTTTAATTTAATTATTTTAATTTTTAAATTTCCATACACGTGTAAATTTTCTTACAGTGATCAAAGAGTATATGATCACTGCGATTTAACAGTGCCAAATTAACAATTAAAACTAAAAAGTATAAAAGTAAGAGCAAATTAAAAATGTAAGGATTATATTAAAAAACAAATGTGTTTTAATGGTTTGTTTTCATGTCTAAGTAAGTAATGAGTAATCCTAGTAATTTGTGAATTTTATAACAATGGCGTATTTATGTGCGGCAATGAACTTCATAGAGAGAAACGATTTAGCTTCAATTTTATCTTATCGGTTATCGGTTGTGATAAGATTTAGGTACTGAAGGATGCTGTGTGTGACAAAATGAGCGCAGTTTTTATGCTACATATGTTATAACATTATATATCTTACTAAATCCGCATATTACTCCAATTCATAATTAAATAATTATGGACTAATGCCCTTTTTGTGTATTCAATTTAGATAAAAATACTGAGAAACTTAACCTTTTTTTTTTTCAATTTTTTAACGGACGACGTGTCTTCTACTTTAAATGAAATTATGGAAGAGAACAAAAGATGAGCGCTTTTTATGAAAGTAGGAATAACAACTGGGCATACAGTCTTCCCGATGGTAAGTGGGTGCTATGGCCTAAAGACACCTCTTATACGTGGTAGAGCTACGCTGTAGCTACAATATGGTTGTAGCACCACTGGGACGTTTTGACAATTTTCAGTAAAAAGTGTCTTGGTTCTCTAACTCATCATACGAAACAGAACATCATTATGTTGTGTTCTTGCTTTTTCGAGCGCTAACTCATTCGCACTGCAGCCATTATTCAGTTTCTTCGTCACTTCCATTTAAAAACTCTTGTCAGCGTAAAAAAAATTATATAGAAGTAAAGTTAAGCAAATAAACCAGTAATAGAATCGCCTACAATATATACATCTAGTCCAGTTTAACCCTCAGAAGACACAAGTTTGCGCGTTAACCGCTAAAAGGAACCCCTTTGTCGTATTTCCTCAGTTTCAAGGCTAACCTGATGATAAGTGACTACCGCCGCCCATGAACAATTGCAACACCAGGGGAATTGCAAGTGCATTGCTGGCCTTTTAAAACGGAGTAAGCTCGTTACTTGAAGGTCTGAAGTTGTATTAGCCTGGAAAAATCGCCGGTGGTAAACGATTTTAAACAGTAGTTGTGCGAGGAAGAAAATTTCCAGTAAATCGCACAATAGTGGACTGTCGAGCATCCAGGTGATGTGGATGGCAACGTAAGAGCCCCTGAGCTACCACATCTTCATACTATTTTATCTGGAAACCCGCCCCGTCTTTACCTGGCCAGCATCTACTCATGTGACTTTATTTAGATTATCAAAGACTATTTATTACATCAATTTTTCGATTTCTCTAAAAAGAAAATAATTCCAAGTTTTTTTTTTTGGATAAATTATAGTGTAAATTACTCTTGGCATTGCCTTCTATCTGCTCGCCAAGTTTCATTTCAGCCATTGCGAAGTTTCGCCCAGAATAGGCAGACAAGCAAAAAATTTAAAAATGGTTACTCATGTCTTAACGACATCCCAACAACCTGTTCAGTTTAAAAAAAAGGGCAGTTATTTTGATATTACAGACAGACGTTCAATTTATATGTTTATATTTTAGACAGTCATTACGTCGAATACCTATATTATAAACAACCAGGTGGTCAGTGGACTTTTCACTTCTTTGTTGTCGAAATTAAAAACATTTCAACCAAACGGCTTGCTTTGTCCTTTTTTTTTATAAGATAAGGATGAAAAACGAGTACATAGTCCAACTGATGGTAAGTGGATGCTGTGGCCCATAGTCATCTATCTTAACATTAAGAATCAAAAAGTAGATGCGTTGTCATCCCTGAGGACTAAGATGGAATGCCTTGATTCCATTAAAACGGGTCTCCGGTTCTCAACACTCACCATACGAAACACAGCAGCATAAAACTGCTATTTTACGCTGGTATGTAACAGCGTGTGCTTAATACAAAGGAGTGAATAAGTTTCTGGCGTCTGTCTTTTCTTCCGATTACAATCTGGGCATGTTTAAGGCAAGAGTTAATAGGCTTGTGGTCGTACAAGGAAAAGGGGGAGATCGATGCGGTGTTCTACCCGGGGAGCGGCCAATGCTCCGAGCGGTAGTTCGGAGCTATTTTATATATACTAATTTACTTCGGAACTTTGATAGCGCGATTTAGGCTTCGATGTGTTTCGCTTGTGGCGCGACGACAGCGCCGCCATAGGGTTTTGTTATGCTAAGACAGTGCGATTCACCATCTACGGCTAAATCATCTTTGACCATCAGATCCGATTGTAGTCAAGCACTCGCTTATAATAAGTGAAAAAATAATACTGTCAACGACCCATCAAACATTAACACTTGCGCTTTTATTTAGCGGAAAGCTAAAGTGAGACATGTGTGGTTTGAGGATGGGTTGTACAAAGTTTCGATAATTGTGATAACAATCATCTGATCTACGTCTTCACGGAAGTAACCTTCAAATTGTGTATTGCTAAGTAGTTCCGGCGCGAGTACAAATACAAAAATTCACATTCACCTTCCTGTTCCCGATCAGAAGTGAGATTGTGTAACGATGGTGGAAAAGCGCTGGAAAAATTGAAGCTTTTTGACGTTTAAAGCTTAGTTTCGGTGTATTATGTACTCGTTGCCTCGTCGTCGGCTGCTTCTTTGGCCTAGTAGTTATAAGCGCCAATGACGATCACGGGTCGAGCTGAAAATAAATAATTGGGTTTTTTTTGTTAAGAAAATCTCAGTAGCAGCCCGGAGACAGGAAGTTAGCAGTGTTTCTCCCCCGTGCCATACCACGTAAACTTGTTGCTCCTGTCTTTGATCTTTCTCCGATCGTGTCAGATTGTCGTTCGACCAGACGCAACTATCTATCTAAAATGAAGTGGTTAATTAACTTACAGTCCGCCTGACAACGAATCTGCGTTTTGATTCGTAATCGCGGATAAATGTAGATGTCTATGGGCTACAGTATTTACTTACCATCAGGTGGACTGTGTGCTCGTTTGTCACCCTTATTCTATAAAAAATAAGAACCTTCAAACAAAGAAGGCTACAGATGTGTTGTCACCTTTCAGGACTAAGATGGAATGCCTCACAGCCTGTAGTTGTACTGGCTCTCTATATCCTTTAAGCTGGAATACAGCAGCACAGTTATTAGGCGGCACAAAAATAGTTAAGAAGATGATGAGCTACCCAGACGGACTCTTAGAGTCTCTCAGAGAAAAAATTTAAAGAAGTCACTATATTTTAACTTTGGCCTCTTAGTATATTTATACATTTACGAAGACTAATGTATGTTCACAAAAACAAAAGAGATCGAATTAAAAAAAATGATATACATTCTGTAGACTATAGTACGTGAGAATAATATTATGTTCGTCCGGTTAATATGGTCACTTTCTTATAAATCAAAAACTACAGCCTTGTTTGCATAGATGGCTTTGTGATACGATAGCTCAATTTGTCTAATCATCGGTCAAACCAATAATAAATATGAAAGGGGCGCTGCCTTATCGATGCCATTTTAACAGTTAACACTACAGTAAATATTTTTGTCGTATTTACTATCGTGTAGTGTAGTTAGTTTTTTTTAAGTTGATTTTTCGAAGTGTTCCTGTTATATATGTATATATATATATATATATATATATATATATATATTGCCTTTTTGTTGTTTTTTTCTTAAAATATTAGTTGTAGTATACGACTTTGTGTTTTTGTCTCTGTGTCTCTGGTTTTATAGGGCGGCAAGGCTTAAGATGACCATATGACCCTCACATACCTTATATATGATATACCTCTTGCCTATTTCTATCGCCATATACGAGTAGCAGTGCATGCAAATAGCCATGGGTGGTACATACCCAGACATTTTTCTAGACAGAAAATGATTTCGGACGTTAAAGAGAAGAACCTACTCCTTCATCACCGGCCTGGTGATACTATTACAACTCTTCTGGTATTATAATTGTTCAAGGGTACCGGTGGTACTTACCATCTAGTTTGAGATGAATACTCGTATGCCTCCTTCTTCAATAAAAAAAAAAAAAACTTCTGCGGTCACTACTTAGGACACTGCGATATAACAATGTCACGTTACACGCTCCGCCAAATGCTCTCCACTGAGGTTTTACACTTAGACGAGCGGTACTAGATAAGGCTACAGATCTATAGCACACTAACTGCAGTGTAAAAACAGAGTTTATTATATCAAATTAAAAAAAAATGGGAGCCGTGGTAGCTCAGTGGTTAACGCTCGCTGTAAATATAACAGAACGCGAGTAACCCGGGTTCGATCCCCGCCGGCACCAATGAAATTAGTTATTGCAATTTTAAGTGCTGATTTACCACGTGCTCGGCGGTGAAGGAAAACATCGCGAGGAAACCTCCATGTCTGAGGAATAAGAAAAAAAATATTTCGAAGACATGTGAAGTTCGTTAACACGCATTTGGGCAGTGCGGCGAACACTTCCTTGCCCTAAACCCTCTCAGAAATGACGGGAGGCCTGAGCCCAGCAGTGGGACGTATATAGGCTGTAACTTTACTTTTACTTTTAAAAAAAATGGGAAAAAAAGCTTCTCAAGAGGTAGCTTTGTACTGGTTTTCTTTATAGAGTGGGATGACAAACGAGTACACAGTCCACCTGATGGTAAGTGGATGCTGTGGCCCATAGAAATCTACGTTTATCTTCGATTAAAAATCGAAATGCAGATGCGTTGTCGCCCTTGAGGACCACACGAAACACAGCTGCTATTTTACGCTGGTATTCTGTGAGAGCGTTATCCTTCCCCGGTCAAGTCGACCTATTCCTGCTACAACCATAATAAAGCTCGTGGCTCTACCACCTAAAAGTCAGATATGGTGAGAGAAGTGTAGCGACGATCTGGTAAGAGATGCAGAAAGTAAAGTGGCTAAATACCGTGCTTTATGGTGTTTCTTGGGGAAGCCTTTATTCAGCAGTGGACTTGTGACGGATTGTAATGATGATAATGATGAT